CTTATGTATGGGTGTTTTTCTTGTGTACGTATGTTCACACATAGCTGTGGGACTTGTTACCTCAGAGATGTAAATACCTGTGGGATGGAGAGATCTCTACCACAGCTGATGATCCAGCATGGTTTGTCATCCACCACTGGGAGACAGTCTGGGATGAGAATGGAGCTGTGCTTGTTTTCCATAGTGCAAGAAGGAACTGCCCTGACCACAAGTAAACAGAAAGGAAAATCACGTACTTCTTAAGACAAGGAGAGAAGCTGAGTTTTCAAGCCCATTTTGGAGTAAAAATGTGCCCACTTTGTCAGAAATCAGAGGTAAATCATTGCAATGTTCTGTCTCAGAAATACACACATGCTGATAACACAGGGTGGCCTCTGGCCAGTTCAGCTTGCACAGTTAGAACCTTTGTTTTTAGGGTTCGGTCAAAAGTGGAGTAAATATTTGCAGGAGAACATTTTCCTAACAGGGACACTCTCAAAAGTACATTTTCTGGAAAAGAACTCTGCCATCATCCTCTTTTATTGTACAGTCCTGCAAGTCCAGGGCAGGGGGGGACAGAGAAATAAATCAAGTGCTCTGAACCTGCATGTTCAGCCTTCACATTACACCACGTAAGAGTAGCCCAAACAGGAGAGTGCTGATAAGGTGACCTGACTTCACAGAATTTTGAAGAACCGTCCTTTGAACTTGGAAAGCTTCATTTGTGAAAGATAAGATTTACAGTCCTAAAACAGACAGGAAAGAGTTGACAAACTGTTGTCACCTGGGGAAGCCTTCCCAATAGTTTTCCTTTCCAGTTCCAAGAACAGAGCATTTTAGAAACACAAGTGGACAATAACCTTTTGGCTGAATCTATTTGACTTTGATTCCAGTCAAGTTGACATTTTAGGTTTTACTTAAGTAACTTTGATGTACTTTTAATGATTAGGTCCTGATAGCAAAAGAGCCTGCACTATCGTCTTTGTTCAGATGATATTAACAAAGGGGAAAATATTTACATACTACTGTAACCAGCTTTGTCATTTTCTGGATACAAGCATTTTTGCTATTTTGTCAGTATTGGCATTTGACTTGCGGCTCCTGTGAAAAGTAGTGTTTGTTAATGAAAGTCCAGCCTGCATTCAGCTGACCTAACTTGAGACATTTAACTGAGAAGTCTAATTTAACACCAAAGTCACTTGATGTTTCTCCTATAAACAATGGGACACTATGTACAGTGCTTCAGACATTTGTCAGCCACTTGCCCTCTGGAAGTGGTTCTCTGCCTTGGCTGTACATAAACAGCGTAGACACCCAAATTGCTGAGATATAGGTAAGATAAATCTGGGCTTTCCTTCTCATAGAAGGGAGTAAAATAACAAGAGAGAAAAAGAGTAGGAGGCAGAATTGTTAAATTCCCTCTCTACACAAAGAGTGTGAACTACAGAGCTTAGGTGATCTGCCCAAGGCCAGATGGCAGTAGACAGGGCCAGATATTGATCACAATACTTTGAAAGCAGCATTTTAATTATAAAAAAAGTTTACGCCTCTGGCAGTGGCCTTAAGATTTTCCCTAATATAAAAAAAAGATACTAGAACAGGAAAAACGTTTCAAAAATAAGCATTCATTCAATTTATTTATTTCCTCTTTCAGAAAAATATTGAAAAATATTAAACTTTAATATTTGTCCCTTTTTCTGTGAAAGTTCTCAGGAATATTTTTTTACCTTCACAGGATATCAAGTTTATTATGACATAAAAGCTGATATAGCCATGCTGTAGTTTGTTTCTCATCTACTGTGTGTAATAGTTTTGGCCATACACACGAAGCAACAAGACTCCAGAAAATAGTCGTGTCTCTGGAATGGAGTTGTGTGGCTTCTACCTGCCTAAAACGTCAAAAATAAAAGTCTTCAAAATTTCCATAATTATTGATTTCTTTTAAAAATTAGTTAATTTTCATTTCCTGAAACTTTGAAGTGAAAAATTGTCACGTTGCAAAACCAGAAAGAAATGTTTCATACAGACATTGAAAATCTGGGGTGTATCAACCTTTTCTCTCTGTTGTAGATTCTTTAGAACAACCCAATATCACAAGTTTTACTTCTAATTTTTTTTTCCTTTTTCCAGAGCACAAACACACAAATAGAAGAATGTTTAGAGCAGATTAGAGCAAAGGTCTGCCTAATTCAGTATGCAGTCCCATGACAAGGTCTATTTTTCATTTTAAAAATGCCAACTAGATTGAACAAGAGAACTGAACAGCCCGAGACACAGTTGGCTCAAGTAGACTCTGTACAGCAAATGAATTGAAATATTCATGTGTAAAATATGCAACAAATAATTCCCAAAGTTGTAAAAAAAATGCAATGCAAACAGAAATGGAATGAAACTAATGAAATAAATTATTTGTTATAAATACTTATAACTATATAAATACTGGTTCTTATGGATGAAATTTCTGCTGCAAGGAAGAGAAAGAAAGTTTCTGAACCATATTTATACAACAGAATCCAGTTCAGTATTTGACAGTAAGAGTTTGCAATTGTATCATAATAGGAAGGAGAAGTTCACAGATTGGCAAAAAAAGAAGAAAAGTCATTGCATGAGCAGGGAAGCATAGAAAGGTTTTGCCAGAGCATCCTATCCAGCTTTGGCACCCATGCTTTAAAAAAACCCCATATTTAAAGAAAGCTTATGGAAGGTAAAAAGAAGAACCAGCAAAATTATGTGAAAACTACATAAAATGTACTACTGTGAGACTGAAAAAGCTACACTTGCTCAGCTGCTTCCTCAAACAGAACATAAGCAGTGAAAGATCTGACAGTGGAAAGTTTAACCACTGGGAGACACTCCTAAGGGGAAAAGCAAGTCATCTCTTTCTTGATTTGTTCTAGTCAATGTGTGCATTAGTGAAACACAAATTAGTTAACAGTGCAAAGTTGTGCAATGCGGGAAGCCAAGCCAGATGTTGCAGAGGTTTGTGAGGAAGATAGTGTTGTTTGCTTAATAAAAATAGAGTCTAAATAATATTCTCCTTGCTGATGAAGAAATTTGAGGATCCAGCAGCCAGGGTGCCTAGAAGCCTGGCAGAAAGAGGATTTTGTGTGAACAAACCCATTCTTTCTGCATGCGAGAAGGTTTGTTACAGACTTATGCTCCAGAGTTCAGTGTCCTGCTGTACGGGAGTTTCTTCTAGTTCTAAACAGGCTTCAGACATAGGTGAATTTGTGGTAAACAGGCAGCTGATCACAGGGAACTTTGTTCTGTATTGACATAAAAAATACTCTTTGTGCCAGTGACCGAGAGAGCAAAGAACCTCCAAAGTGGCAAAACTGCTGGATCACTCCACCATGGTCCATTAGAAAAGACCATGAACACACAGACTGTCCTTAGAAAGCCAGCGTTTGGATTGCCCAAATAAACACTGTCCTTTAAAAGCAAAAATGGTCAAACCAGGCTGCTCCATGCTCCACTAATCTACTTGGGAAAAACACTCAATTCCATCGTAGCTTTGACGTTTCTCACCCATCCAGTGCTCAGAGAGCACTTCCATCTCTCTGGGGGGACTTGCCTTTCCCACTCCACCTCAGATGCCCTCAGGACCAGGTTGACAGGTATCTTAGATAGCACAGTTACTGCACACACATGTTGGGAGGGAAAATGATTAAAAGTCATTTGTCCACTGGAATGATGAAAGGAGAGAAAGGAGATAAAAGAGATAAAAGAGAGGAGAGAAGGGATGGCTCTCTGGATCACAGTTTAGTTTAGGTCACTGAATGAGGGAAAGGGAAATGTGAATTCACTTTGCAGATCCAATTCACATTCAGGCGTTTAACCCAAAGAAGAACATGAGTCACTAAAGCCATTCTAAGATCACGTTAACTGAGGCTTAACCATGTGCAGAGAACCATGTGCCACCAGATTATGGCCTTCAGTAGAGACCTGTGGCAAACTCTTTGTGAGTTTTCTGAGGATCGGGTAAAGAAATCCCTAGCTTATGATGTTCTGAGCATGCCCTTCTTCAAGTCTCTATTCAGATACAGAAAACTCCTTGGATTTTCACAGCAGCAACTCAGATTAGGTACCTAGAGGCTATAGACACTTCCAGATTTAGTTGGAAACATTTCAGCTGCCCTGAGGATCTGAATTTTAGACTTGGATATTAAAAGTGGGAGGTAGGAGGTAGCTGAGCTTTGTAGAGCTCCAAAGTTATCTGTTCCATACTTCATTAAAGTATTGCATTAAAGAGCTTCAGCCTTTCATTCTTATCATCTTATTGAATATTCCTTCCATTCCATCACTTCATGGTTGAAGCTAACAGTCAGTTCTCTCATATTTCCTAATCCCTTTGATTGTTTTTTTTGCTCAACTACAATTGTTCACAGTTTCACCTCCAATACAAAACTGCCTTGACATATTTTTCTTCCTCTTTACTTTCAGTATCCTTTTGGTGCCCCCTTTTTACTCTTTTCTGTAAAATGTCCTTCTGCCTTGAGCTTTTAGACATCAAAAGCAATTTAAAAAGCAACTACACCTGAAGCTACTATGTTAAATTTGTTTTGCTTGCAGTAAGAGTACACCAACAACATTCTCTTCCTATGAATGTTCACCTAAACTAGTAAGAATTTATTCCTCAGCTGTGACATATCTGAAATCATAATGAAGTCACCTTGCACAAGACATGTAGACCTGAACAGAAGATTTTTCATTCTTTGTGAAACCTCAAAGTTCTGATACTTGTGGCTACCCAAAACAAAGATTAAAAACTTTAAAATTGTCAATATATGTTGCAGAACAAAAGTTATATTGAAAGTATTAACACTGCAATGTCATGATACTTCCCATTGAATGTGTCCAACCAGAGGTTTTTTCCTCTGGCCAGATTTCACCTCTGTTTGCTTGCTTGCTACAATGATAAGGTCCCATGTTACTCAGCAAAAAGTTGGGCAGGCAGCAGGCAGGACCCCAGCATGTCATGGAATACCTATATTTTTCTGTCCTATCTCTTTGTTTCTTTCTTCCGTCTTCTCTGCATGTTCAACCCAAAGTTTTAAATTCTTCAGAGTACTGTCTGTTTAATAACTGACTTGTATGCTGTTCAGAAAAAAAAAAAAAAACAGAGCAAAGTTAACTATAAACTAAATAATGCTTCCATAGCTGAATAAGTTACATAAATAATTCTGTTGAAAACAGTTTCTATAACCTTTTTTTTCCTGGACCAAAGTAGTGAAGGCTCTAAAGCAACTTATTCTTCCCAAATTCCAGGATAGTATATCAATGTTACATAGCTTGCCTGTTCTTCCAGCTACCCTCACAAGTTTTTCAGTTTTAAGAATCAGGAAGTTTTATTTAATATTTATGTTAATTTCAATTAAATATTTCATATGTATCAAGGTAGCAACAGTCCTGGAGTTAATTCACTGTGATGTGAATCTTCCTTGGTCCTCAACTCGTAAGTTGCAGATGTGACACTGGATTTCTGCAGCTACGTGCCACTTTTCTGGCAACAGCAGCTCTCCATCCTCTAGTGTCACTTATTCTTCTCTGTTGTCTCCGAAAGCTATAATTTACAGGAGAAATGTGAGGTTCATCTTTTTCACATATCTGTCTGAATCATCTACTAATGCCTGTATTTCCTGGCTGATTGTGAAGGGAATTAATGAGGACTCTGTATTGGAAATATTTACAGTGAGACAACATGGAACTGCTCAATACAGTAAGGCTTTCCTACTTTAACAAGACAATGTTAAGTCATAAAAAGTAAAAATGAAATTCTGAATCCATGTTAGATTCAGAACCTGTTGAGTTGCCTTTTACTGCTCGGACCGTAGATATCAGTTATGTTATTTCTGAGTTATATATCCACAAAATCAGAGACAAGTTTTAGATCTCCTTACTGTATGCAGTAATGGTCCTGATGACTCATTGTCATTGAAGATATATCTGTTCAAATTGCTTATGTATGTTTTATTAGATTGGCCATTCTGAAGAGACTAAAGTTGAGTGCTCTGCAAAACAAGTTGATAAAAAAATTCATTTCAGTCTGAAGTAATTTCACCAAAAAACACCAACAAAACACATGGAAGAAATAAAAACTTCTCATTTATAATACCTAAAGCTAATATGTATATGTTAAATATAATATATAGGTCTATGCAATTATAAGTTCATTTTACAGAAATGTGTAAACATAATTAAATAACTTACAGCCTCAAGTTTAACATTGAAGTCACATTGAAGGAACCATTTTGGAGGTACTGAAGTAAAATGAAAAAGTAGAAATTGCGGTTTTCACTTGTTTAGCATTTTGCTTTTATCGAAATCAACATTGCCATGACTTTTTACTTTTTGAAGAGTAAACTATTATGTTGAGAACATTTTGTTCAGTTCTGGCTTTGAAACCTTCATTTTTTTTGTCTGGCAATTTTTTCCTAGAAGCACCAGATCCCTTTTGTCTGGCTTCTCTGTGAAGATAAGCCACTAGACAAACATTAACTAATTATTTTTGGTTAACTCTTGTTCCATCACAAGCATCGGAAAGGCAAAAGACACTTTTTCCTTCAGCACAGTAGACCTGGCAGAACATCGTTATCCTGGACAGGAGTATGAAGTGAACTTGTACCATTACAAAGCGAATCCACAATCAACACATTCTGCTAAGCTGACTAGAGAAATTCTGTGCAGCTGCACTGCTCTGACAGTAATAGTCTGTTTAATCTTTTTAGATAGTTGCCTGCAAACATCGACAGAAAGCGAGAGAGGTCAGTTTGGATCTACAGGAAGAGAGCTCAAACGCAATCTGTGGTTGTTGAAAGGTTGTTCTTTGGTTACTTGAAACAAACATTTAAACCTCTGGATTACAACATTTGCACAGTTTGATAAACACATACATTAGCTTCACCAGAGGTGTATTTTTCTTTCCTCTTATTTAATACTCAATAAAAATTTTGCACACACACACATATGTGTATGTGCACATGCTCAATCTTGTGCATTTTAAAGGCATGTAGGTGTTTGGCTAACAGGTCATGGAGGCTTCTGAGGGAATTGTTTCTTCCTAGCTCTATCTTTCTTTCTTTTTTCTTTTTCTTTCTTTCCCTTCCCTTTTTGATCATGGTTACAGGAGGAGTAGATGGCGACAAATGATTAATAAAAGGACAAAGCTGGAGAATTTTTGTTTATTGTCCAGAACCAGTTCACTTTCTTTATAACCTCAGCAGACTTAATTAAAAATGCTTCCTGTAAAAAAGGTTTCTGCAGAAAAATTAGACAGGAGTTTTAAAATAGGGTTCAGTTGGTCAGAGTGATGGTCTGTGGGATACTTTGTCTCCTGCCCGTGACTGGAGTGGTACCTTAGTGCTAACCAGTGCCAGCCCACAGAGGGCTCAGAGCATTGCCACTGGCTGCTTCCATAACCAACACAATGTGTCTGCAAAGTGCAAAAGCTGGGCAGCTCTGAGATGGACAGATGTGGTTTTGCAAATCATGAAAATGATGTGAAAAACTCTCACAAGGAAGAAAGGCACAACATTGTTTTTTTGACAACACAGTGAAGCCCCAAATAGCCTTACAGAGATCCAATATATAAATCATAAACTACTGTTAAATATTATAGAAGAACTGGCATCTCCTTTATTGGAAAGGTTTAGAGTCAGGTCTGGTAACAGAATTATACTCTCATAATTACAGAGAGTATATATACATAATTATAATGCTCTAACATTGTTCCTAAACCTGGAAAAGGTCTATTTCTATGCCTTTCACATAGCCTTATTTCATTAATAATTACAGATGCTACAATCTTGATCCAAGCAATGGCAGGTAGATTAACAAAAGTACTGCCGCACCTCTAACAACTTTAAGACCATGTGGGAATTGTAACTGGGAGATGATCTGAGGAGACCATTCAGCCTTCTGTATTATAAGAAGCCTTAGAGAGAGCCAGATTTAACAGGCCAAATGGAGAAGAAAAAAAAACAAACCAAACAGTTATCTATGTGCAATGGTTTCCCATTCACAGCATAAAAAAATAAACTTTATTTATTGGCTAAATTAAAAGTCTTTATGCCTCCCTGCTAGGTACCACTTAAAGGATGCAAATCATTCTCCTCATTCAATGTAGACTGGGAAAATGAGGGGAAGTTGTCACTTATTCAGTACAGGTCATTTTTTATCAGCTCCATGTATGGAGTCTAGCTTGAAAGAAAAAAACAGTAGCATGAAGAGTCATAAAGTATTTTGATGCCCTTTAGATTGGAATTGCTTGAGAAAACAATGCTGAAATTTATGAATGAAGAATTTTGGAGACAGTCAGACTATAAAACCTAAAGCATTGGGGAGTCTATTTAGCCACATTTGTTAATATCCTCCTGTGCTCCTTATGGGCTTCTTAAGGAACCTCTTAAGAGATTCTAAAGGAAAAAGAAGAGAAAAAGTTTCAGGACACAGAGATGTATATTGTTATGTGTAGCACAGGAGTATCTACGAAATCAAGACCTATGTCTAATCGAGTCTAATAATCCTGTATGACATACACTGAGAGACAGTCAGTTTGATTTTGTTGAGTTTGAAAGAAATGTACAGTCCTTACAATGTGCAGGTGGTTTCTGGATGATCCTAATGACAGAAGAAGACAGAGGCCCTCCCTGCCTGTGCTTCATGGCCTGCCCAGCTGGAAGTCTAAACCCAAGCATGGCTAAACCTCTAACCTTCCAGGGCAGAGAGGAATTACAGCCAAAACAAACTCCAATATTGTTGGCTTGGTTGGTTAAGGCTGCACAACTCCTGCATCTAGCAAGGACTTGTGGGAAATGTCAACTTCATTTGCCTTCTGTAGATGCAACTATGCAGGCACTATGGCGTGGATTTGAGTCAAATCTCAAGTTTTAACTCTTTTCCTGATCTGTTTGGATACATAAGCAAACACTCCATGTGGATGCAAGCCAAGGTCTAGAGTGCAGTAGAGCAAGAGCCAAGAGGAAGAGCCTGGTGGGACTGAGCATAGAGGGCAACAGTACACCAGGAGACACCTTGTCCTTTGTTCTTCTCAAGACCCATAGTGAACACTCTGATCCTGGGCTGTAGAGTCAGAATGGGTATCTGGGAAGACTGGCCAGGAGTGAATTTCACCTCTGTAGTGGACACACCGTTTTTCTTATACTGCAAAATAAGTGTGGTCTTGTTGATACAAGTCATAAGTGCAGGGACTAGATGGTAATCCCAATGTTTAGTGTGGATTTAAAAAGAGCAGATTGTGCCTGACTGACCTGATTTCCTCCAGGGGTGAAATGTCTTTTTATATTGATGAGGGTAGAGTGATGGATAAAGTATACTTGATTTCACTAAGATCTCTGACTCATCTACACAGTCCTCTCATCTGGAAGCTAAGGATTTATAGTGCACAAGATGTCATGAAAGACTCCTGGACTGTCAATCTCAAAGGCTACTGATCAATGTCCTGATTGGTAGCCATCAACCAGCTGTTCACTAGTAACAAACAGTATCAATAATCTAAATAATAAAACAGAATAAATCCTCAGCAACTTTGAAGATGCTAGGAAATAAGGAGTGGTTGACACTGAAAGGCAGAGCCTCACTCAAGCTGGTCCTTGATAAACCTGAAGATAGGGTTAACAAAAATTGTTATGAACACCAACAAAGTGTGATGTTCTGCAGTCAGCTGGGCCAACCCCAAGTATCAGCATGCTGGCTGCCAGGGAGAAACCTGGCGAAAAGGAAAGTAGACGCCAGACTGAATAGGAGCCAGCAGGAAGCTCTCCCTGCAAATAAGACAAACCACATCCTGAGCAGCACTAGGAGGAGTGCGTCCAGCAGATCAAATTACAATCCCCCTCTGCACACCTGGATTACTGTATCCCAGTGTGGATGCTCCCACTCCCAAGTTAAAAAAGATATGCAGAAACTGGAGCTGATCCAGCAGAGAGCTACCAAAATGGTCCAGGAGATAGACAACATAACATACAAGGAGCTGTTTTATCTGATCAAGAGGAGACCATGGAGTGAATAGTCACACTGTAAAACAATTTGACAAGTAACAAGAGGTAGCAAAGACAACGTGGCTGAACTCTTCTTGG